GGGAGTTGCAAGAAAACATACTTTCCAGAAGATATACCCTTGCTCTTGAGTATATCAGTAAACACTGAAGAAATTTGTACTGATGAGATAAGTTGTGTTCATTAGGATAGTTTATTGCTTTTCACACTGATTTTTGAACAAGTGTCAGTGCTATGGGAGCCAGATGTTATGGCACAGTACTTAGCAGGCAATTGCAGCATTAACTTGTCTGGCTCTGCTTGAAAGAGTTTGATCCTGACATTAGCCTATCTGATCTGGTTCTTCTCCTAAAGCAGTCAGCTGTACATTTGGCTCACTATAATGCACCCAAGAACATGCAAAAAACTCTAGATAAATTTTTCTCTCTGCTGTCATGTCTAGATAACCCTTAAACCTACTGGCGAGTACTAACTAGTCAGAGGCTTGAGGAGATCCCCTCTAAAATAATAAAAAAACCTGACCCCTACCCTGAACTTCGGGTTTTGGCTTCAAGGCACTTGAACCTTTTAAAAAAGTAATTTATTCAAACTCAGAAGGCTGGCCATTGCAAGCAAGGTGACTCTTTTTTGATTCTGCTTTCTGGGTGGTCTTCCAGGAACCTAAGCAATTCTACTGGAAAATGAATCAGATATGCTACTGCTAGTAAAAGAAAAATGAGAATGAAATACAGTAAATTTGGTACAGAGAAATCCTTTGTACCTTTTAAGTGAAAAAGTTATCACTATGTGATAAAAATAACTGAATTTCAAATATAGATATTTGAAGAACAGGACTTCGTTGTGCAGCTGGTCATTCTCTGAAGCAGCAGTGAAATTGGCAGCAATGCTGCTCTAATTCTATGGTCATTTGGGGTAACGAAAGCAGAAAGAAACCTGCTTTTTAGGACTATGTTTGCAGTGCTGATAGTTAAATCATGTTCTAATTTGTGAAGTGAGTAAATACAGAAGTAATCAAGGAGAACACAATAAATACGGTGCAGCAGTATTTTTTTTTTTTACATTTGACTGTACTTTTCTGGTAATAGAAAAATACAGTTTGTGATCTAACTTCACTGTACTTTTCAGTATCCCTTACAAGTAAGGAGGGATGGGAACCAGACTTCAAATAATTGCCTAGGCTTTTCTCCATTTATTCATATTATCAGATTCCCAAAAATACCATTTTCCTTCTGCCCTCTTTACTTCAGTCTGAAATTATACAGGGAGTACTCCATGTTCATATTCCTAGAAGTATTCGTTTCTGAAATTTCTTCCAATGTTCCTGCAAAAACTCTCACTTAAATATAACTAATGTATAGATGTCAAAGTTATTAAAGCTTCATCTTTCACTACACAACACAATTACAACACATTCAGTATTGTTCAGTGCTGAAACAAGGACATATTTTAAAATCATATTTTGTGTCTTTTGCCAAGTCTGCTAATTCTTAGCCTCCAATAATAATACAATATATACAAGAAGTTGCAGTGAATCTCCATGAGGATTTGTACGATCCTCAATTTCCCACTGAATTATATTCAAATACAGGAAATAACAAGCTTGAACCCAAAGGAAAACAAATATTCTTGACCTAAAACTTTTTCTGCAGGAGTGTTAGAAGTCAGGAACACTGGATCCTATAACCTTGATTTCTGCCAATATTAATATTAACAAAGATGAAGACTCATGGAAATGTGTCCAAGGACTTGTGTAAAAAAAAAAAAAAAAATCATTGATACTTGTAGCATTGATAAACTACTGAAAATATACGAGCTTAGGATGTTTCTATAATTCCAAAAGATAACATCATGAAGTAATCAGAATTGACAGAGGTCAAATGGTCATGAATATTTTTAAAACCCAAAGAATTATTTTCAGGTGACCAACAAAATACATTTTCTGTGAAAAGAGTAGTGTTCCTTGTAATATTTTCATCACCAACATTCAGGACAAATATAATCAAAATTTGAAAAGTCCCAAAGACAGAAACATTAATAAGAGTAAGATCAAGATCTAATGTGAAAACTTTCCAGAGAAATGTAAATTTGTTTCACTTCAGAAATCAAATGTGTTTTATCTTACACATAATGTAAAGTCTTTTTGTGTGTTTGCCATGAACCAAGAACATCAGAATGTGCATGACAGTCTGTGGCTCGTCAGTGATTGCATAATTGCAATACCATAAAACCCAGAAATATTTCCAAACTCATGGGTGTTCTAGCTCTGCTTTGGAGATAATCCTGTCCTTCAGTTGTGTGATCTGTAGATAATAGACAAGTGTCTGCTACACAATCTGACAATGAATGTGAGGACTAGGGAGGACTGTGTACTCTGCACATATTTTCAACATTTGTGAAGGAGCAGGGCAAGCATCTATCTAAGCAAGCCACCATCTACATCATACTTTTCAACTGGATGATGAGTTGGGCCTAGAAAGCTGTCTGGAATCTCAAAACTTTCGAAGCAAAAGTACATAAGATAAAAATGTTGCTGATTCTGTTGGGCAAGGCATGGGTCTTTTAACAGGTAGTTTCCTCTGCTTTTATTGTGAAGGCACATAAATGACTTCTCAATGACCCTTGCAATGAGAAGGAAAACCTCCAGACCAGATATCTGTGTGTTATGATACTGATCTCTATCTTCTGCAACACCCTGAAATTTAAGTAGAAAAAACCCATAGGAGGTTATTCCAGACAGCAAGTTAATAATTTTACATGGTTGAAATTGTGGTGGAAGCACTGCACAAATACACTTTGTAAAAGACAGTGTATAGCATGTATAATAATCCAGAAGTTCTATTTATCTCCTTGCTACTCAGTTTATAATTTTTTTTTAATATTTGATACAGATGTTAATTTCCAAACAAGTTCTTCTCTGCTATGGACTTCCATTGCTGTATTAATATTTGCTGTTTGCATTTTTTTTAACCCCCCCAAGGCATGAAACCAGTAAACTGGTCATTGGTTAATGAAGTTTTGATTCCCATTTTTCTTAAACTCTGGCAAACCCATGCATGACTTTATCCAGATTTCAAACATAATTTTTCACGTTTGTTGTCTTTAACTCCTGTAAAAGAAAATGTTCACCCAGAGCTTACTTATCACTCCTTTTCTTCACATTTCACTCTGTTCCTTTGCACATATCCTGTTTTCCTTCACTACTCAACAATTCCTTATATGACTAGATTTCCAAAAATATGTCTAACTGAGTACCTTTTGAGTCCCAAGAGATACTGGTGCCTAACAGTATCACAGACAAGGATCTCACACATAGCAATTTAGAGTTCTTCTATGGGACATCCAGAGGATGTACAGCCAACACCTTGACATAATAAATGATAAAAGACTTAGCAGGATTAAAGTTGATTGGGTGGGTAGTAGAATGGAAAGAATCAATGGACAATATTCTAATTGACTGGATAGCCCATTCCATGCCAATGTTTTGTTAGAAAAAAAAATCACAGAAGATTTTCCTAGGTTTGAATAATAACAAGGCTCAAATTCAAACGAGTAAAACTCCAGTGAAGTTGAGAGAACTGCCCCAAGAATTAAATTTGTTTGCTATTTTGCAATTACAGTCCACGGAATTTCCTTGCCCATGAAGTGAAACAGCAGGATACAGAGCAACATGGCCAAATGGGATTGATCTGGACGTGGTTGTATACAGACAGTGCAGAAAACCCTTTGTCATTCAATTACTTCTTTTAAATAATAAAAACTGCCTGAAACTCCTAAAGTCCTCTTTTTGGAAATCTGAGAGGAAATGGATGAAACAGGAGTATGACCCAGTCTTAAATCAGTGAACATAAAAAAACCTTATTCAAAATTATTTATTCAATGCTAATAAATACCTACAACATTTTCCTCACTGAGGACTATTTCAATGCAGTTTTTGTGCAAGCAGAAATGTAATCCAGAACTGCAGACTAAAAGCCATTGCAAATGTATGCAGATATATGCAGATGCTTGGAAAAGGAAACCACAAAACTAAAAGCATAAATAGAATGTCTCCATTGTGAAAATAAAATCTTAAAATTGCTGTTAAATGTGAGGAAAGAATGTTTTGGAAAGTGTAGAGATGTATTAACACTCAGGACATTGCATCTGCAGAACCCTTGCTAAAAGTTTCAGACCCCTACCCCTAAAAGGAGAAAAGATAGCTCTGAAGTTGTAGAGCTTGACAAGTTTTCATGGTATGCAGTAATGTTTTTGTTAGGAAAGCTGTTTGCCTATCTGAGCCTGACAATTAACAGAGTTTCAAAGCAGCCTGTGAAATGACATAATAAAATAAATATACCCTGAAATTTAGAAAATAATGAGAATCTCTTTGCAAACAAATCACACCCACAGATCTGAAAGGAGTTTAGAGGAGTTTACAGTTTACAAGAAGAACTTGCTGTGTAAAGAGGATAGAGCTATATGGAAGGCAAAAAAGGATGAAAAGAAGAAAAGCATTCCTTCAGGATGAATGATTCCTTATATGGCTTCATGCAAACACTGATTATGTGAAATAAGAAAGAGAAATAAAATGAACAACTTAAACCAGAGAGCATGCAAGGTCAAAACATGTAGAGAGGGATAGGCAAAACTGTGGGAAAGGCTCTAAAGAAGGATATACAACATGAGTAGCAGGCATATGGCAAAGCAACTACCCAAATATAAAAGAAAAATTAAAACAGAACCACTAACGTCTCTTCTTTTAGATCAAGTAGCACTCCCATCTGCCATGTCTTTGTGTTGAATAATTGCCAGCCCCCCAGGGCAGGAACTGCTTCTTGTAGGGTGCTGTATATATATATAAAGGGTGGCACCATGCATTCAGCTTTCAACTAATTGAAGGACCTTTTATAAAAATGAATTTCTGAGGTCTAAAAAGTATTTGGCATTGATTATGACTCACAACAAACTATTGATTCGATGTCTTTTGTCTCAGTGTCCATGTCTAGATAACCAAATCCTTAATGTAAAGGTTAACCAGATGCGTAACTGTAATATAAACTCTAACGACTTTAAAATTTAAAAATCTTAAAGCACTTGACTTACCTATGAGAGCAGAGCTCCCTGGACTGACAGTCAGTTTTGTTCCTGAAGGAGAAGTCAGCACTGAATGGGTGCTGGGCCCAGCACTGCTAAGCACTGCTGTCAAGTCTTCTAGGTAAGGAAGAGGTCGTGGAGGCTCTGGTAACAGATTGGGAGAATGAGCAACACTATAGCAGAAAACATCTTGGGATACAGATCCTGGTCCTCCTCTTCCCCCACCCCCCCCAACTCCCCAGATATTGCTGCAATTTTCACTGTGCTGTAACATTGCCATTTCAGAAGGGCAGATTAAGCAAATCTTTGCCTTGTGTTAGGTAAGGTGCTGGAGAAATTATTAAAATAACATCTGTATCAATGTGACCACAAACTTAAAGAAATAATCTTTGCAGGTTACCACAGCAATCTGGTAGCCCTTATTCATATATGACAGAGTTATATGGTATTAGGAGATACAGCAGCTTGGGAGAAAAAGCAAATGTATACAGCATAGAAGCCAAATCACATGTTCATGACAATTAATGAAAAACTTTTAGTGTCTGCTACAACCTGGATCAAGCCCTAATTAAATATGGTTATAATACTGCCAGATCCTCTGGTATACTTGGGCAGAACTCCAAAGGACTAAGAGTTCAGAGCTCAAAAGGATCAGTCTTTGCTGAGAACTGCAGGATTTAGTTGTTTACTAATCACAATGTTATTTTAAAAATTGAAGTAATGCCTAGCATTCCCAATTCTTCTTGTCATGAAAATGATGTGATATTTGATTGAAATGAATAGTGGCTTCATCCCCTTTCAATTAGATTACGGCACATATTACGCAAGTTTTCTACTGCTGATGCCATTCAGCACCAGGAGTACAGGTCAAGGATGCCTGAACTGTTCTGTTCCATCAAGGAGCTAAAAATGTAATTTGCTTACAAACATAAGCAGCTTGCATAACTCACAGTAACTTGCCATCTTTAAAAGCTAAGCCATCTATAATGATCAGAAAAGGATTTAGAGATCATCTGGGAGTCTTTATTTATAGGCTGAAACTCAGCTGATTTTTTCCCAGATTATTTTTTTAGACTGAGATGCTATAGTCAGTCTGGATTAGCAGGAGAAAAGTTTGAACCTTCATTTTAATATTGTCTGCAAAAATCTCACTGTTATACATCCTCTGGAAGCTCACTAGTTATGAAAGATGAGAGCTGTAGTGGATGCCCTAATGGTGTTGCCCCAGTTGTGGGGAATAGGTTTCAAAATTTGAGACATCACCAACAAATGCACTTCTAAAGTGCTGAAAATCTGTCTGGATCAGTCATCTGCCAGGCGGGCAGAAATTATAGAAGATGAGTTACTAGGAAAGGAAATGTCTTTCCCACAATTCCCTTACCCACAATTCCAGATCCCACCAGGTACCACTTCCACTCACATTTCACAGCTGCCACCCTCTTTCAAATCACCCAGATGGGCTTTCTGTCCGGTGTTTAAAAACACAGGAAAAGTAAAATTCACCGTTCACAGAACTTGAGATGTACTTTTTAGAAGTGAACTGGTTTTACTGACCTTTGTGAAGTGGGTCAGTATCACACAATCTTGAATGGAAAGACTGCTCAGAGGAGACAGAGCACTTCACAGTGAAAAAGTGCCATCACTCTCATTTTAAGATAGTCACTTTAAGAAATGGTTAATAAATGCTTTTCTTACTTAGCAAGTCTGAAAGAGTTTAACTGAGTATCTTGGGACTGGAAGGTGTGATTCCTGTTTTTAGACATTTTCTCCTTATCCACTTTCCTTTTACCACCACCTTGCTTCAGCTGATGCTGCCCAGAGTACAAACAGAGATTGATGCTCCCTTTAGAACAGGGCTGCCTGCATGCCATTTCCACTTTCCACAACAACCAATTAGTTCTGCCATCTGGATGTGCCAGTAGCCACATTACTGTTGTTGCTAGTCCAAAATACCAAAATACACTGGACTTACCAAGAACCAACAGCTGGGAGCTTTCAGTTACTTCCCCGTGAAGATTGGATGCCTTGCAGGAGTATAACCCCTGATCTGATAGAGAAACATTTGCTATTAACAGCAACCCATTTTGCAGATGGTGAGCAGAGGACAGCTTCACCTTGTTCTTAAACCAAGTAACTTTTGCTTCAGGAACACCTGGGAAAACATTGGCAAAGTGTAACTAACACAAGTAAGTATTACAAGGCAAAAATAATTGTAAGGCAAATAGTGGAAGAAGAGATGAGGAGTACTAAGTGCAGGCTAAAGAAGAAGGGGAAAGGACAAGGAAGATTTCATATGACCACAGTTCTTTAGAGCAGTGACTCAAATAAACAACTAAATAAATACAGAGACAGACACAATTAATATACTTCTTGCAGGCAGCTACTCAGATAGTCCTAGTCTAGAAAGGCAGATTCCTCTGCACTTCACTAGCAGCAGAAGAAACAGGGGTTAAAAGTGAGATCTCCTTAATGTTGAGGTATTGCTGTTGAGAAAGATGCACTCTGCCTACAAAATGTCCACCAATGCCACAAAAACGTTTTTCTAATTGTATTCTACAAGCGTGTCTTTCCCTTCTCCAATGTTTCCACACTAACAGGAAATTCGCAGGTACAGCTGTTCCTACAGTTTGCTTTGGGGAAGATAAGCAGTTTATGCCAATGAGCAGCAGTTTTATTTTCTTTTGATCTCCCAAGTTCAGTGACACACACAGCCTCGAGACGGGAACAGGAGGCGGCCAGCACAGGGATGAGCAATCATGTCGCATCACTGCCACAAGGGGTAGCAAGAGCATTTCAATCGCCTTTGCTGGGTAACGACGGATGCCAGAGGACAGAGGGCTGAGTGTTTCCCTTGCAGAAGTATCACAGAGACTCAGTCTGAGAGGTGCCAGCTGGAAACAGAACTCACTTTGCTGGGCAGACAAGACTTTATGTAGTGAGTAATTACCCGAGTCTATTCTTCTTCAGCTTTCCCCTCCATCAATGTGCATGTATCCAGCACAAAAAGCCTACCTGGAATACTAGTAAGCAGAATTGTGTAAGCCAAGTGAGATAATTTTGCCAAACCAAGGCTCTGGGAGAAAGGAATCACTGCAATACAAGTTTATAACAGTAGTGACTAGTTTCCAATGCCACAACATTCTTGAAATAGTGAATAATATTTCACAATCTGATACAGCTGATGAATAAACACAGGCCATAAATCAAGGCAAGAACTAGAAAATAAAACCTTCAGCATGTAGGTGGAACACAGAGAAAAGAACTGTTTAGGAGAACTGAGAGAACTGAAAATTAGAACAACAAAGATACAAGGAGGTAAAGGACAGGAAGGTAACATATTTTAAGCTATCCTTCCAAACCTGTTCTGACTCAACCGTCACTAATTGTACATGACATTTTGCAGAATGTCCTACAAACTAGATTTTTAAAACTGATTCCTTCTTACATGTCAAACTGTATTTTCAGTAACAGTCTGGGCTATATTGCTTGAAGCTTCTGGTATGCAAATGAATATCTGCACAGTTTAAGTGCTGAAATCAACAGAAAGGTCTCTAGTGATGCTGATGTGATCTAAATTGCTCTCACATCCTATTTTTAAGTGAAATGGTGCACAGTAGTAAAGTTACCCACACCAAAAATGCTGCTGGCTTTCTGAAGCTTGGAGCAAATCCTCCAGCTGGCAGTCACAGGCATCTGCAAGACTCCTGAGTGACTTTTGGGTGGGAGTTCCCCTAGGATTAGTTTTGGAGAAGTCTGGAATTGACAACAATCACCTAACAATAGTTAAAAAATATATTCCTTCACCTCTATCAACAAAGAAATGATGTTATGTCAAGTGAAATAATGTTGGTTTTCAATCTTGATCAAAATCATTACACTGCCTTTGTGGTAAAAATGAAATAGAGCTTCATCTTGACATAAATCACATCAGATGCCAATTAAACTCTAATGCATCCAGAATGATTATATTTCCCCTTGTCCCTTAGTTAACATCTATAGATTTCAACTCAGAAGACAGACTTTGACAGTGCTTATGCCTGTCTTAAGAAGTTGAAAAGCAATATAAAATTACTCCCTAGGCTTTGATTGCATACTCTTCCATTATCTCATATTTTTAAGAAACCTTCTCCAGGTTTATCAACACATGCTGGCAGCAAGTGTATATTTCTGGCCCTTGACAGAAAACGCAGCTTCAGAGAATACCATAACTGATCCTTAATATTTATCTTGTAACTATTCTGCTGTCTTGCTGACTCTCAGTAAAAATGTGTCCTCACATGAGCTGAGATATCCAGATCCAATTCACATATGGTCCTATGCCAGAGACTGTACAGCACAGTGATAGAAACACATCTTATATTAATGGGATAAACTGTCACTGAACTCTGACCTAAAACTCTCATTGGTTGGGCTGGCTCAGGACATCCTGACATGACTAGAAAGAAAGTACTAGAAGGAAAAAACTATAGCTTTACAAAACTGTGTGAAGAGCTGTTTTCATCCAGAAAAGTCTCCACATAATTTCTGGATATGCTAGTTTGCTTTCTAACTGTGTTAACTTTGCTCTCACGTACTAACTACTTTTTTATTGCCAGATGTTATTGCATTAACTGTTGCATGCTAATTTACTACGATTTAATAGCCATTTCATTGTTAATGTTTTCTGGGGAGCTTTGGCAAACTAAACAGATGTAAAGTTTATCTACCTGAAAGGAATCACTAGGATATGACATATTTGCTGACTGCAGAAGTAGTGCATGTTACTCTTATCCCTAGAATTGTTTGTTCTAAGGGTGATCAAAACTATATAAAAGGCTGAATAATCATAAAGCTGATGCTAAAACAAAATGTTTGTTCTTACATTAGAAGGAAAATTACATTTATTCTCATACTATGTTATAGGTTTTATGAGCTGGTTAATTTTTCAGGTGTAGGTGAGACAGCTGATAGAAATTACTGTTCTTGAATCATTCCTCAAGGTAGCTTTTTTGCAAATGCTGTTGAATTATGAGCATTACTTTTACGAAATTAGAATTCTAGTGCCCATAAAACATATCTGTCCTCATTATTAACTCTCTCATTCCCTTTGCAACATAAAACCTCAGCTTGGGGTTTATGATTTTATGATAATTTCAAGGGCATTAATCTCTGGTGTCAAAATAGTTAATATTTTCTGCAGAGGCAGTAGTAGAAATTTTTTTTTTTCACTCATGGAGAAAATTAGGATTTAAGAAAATTTCTTCAGTGTCACAGAAGATTCCAATATACAGGTAGTAGATAGAAAAAGTCTTCTCTTAGACGAGAAGACACAGTTAAAATTTTCCATTTTGGATGTTGTCATAGTGGGTGAGTTTCACAAAATTGCTAGAGATTATTTTCCTCTCAGAAAAGACTTTGAACCTGTGCCCCTGACCATTTTGTGTTTCTAGGAGTATAGTTTGCTGATATTATAAGTACTGTGGAAACTTTGTTTAGTCGCATCCTGTTGTTTACATGGTGCTTTTGGTGAAGAGAAATGGCTACACTTAGATCCGCAATACCTGTCTGAATCTGTGGGTTATGTATCTGGGCAGCTGACAGAACCCAGAGAGAGAAATCCAAAATAATTTGTTTTAATATATTATTTAGTCTCTTTCATACAATGTCCATGCAGGTGAGCATGGTGAGGCCTGGGGGGAAAAAACCGGGTGTCATTTCCATCTTCTCCCTTGAAAGTCACTGGACACCAGTCTGATTGCAGGCGTGTGTTATACTATGGATAACAGTGTAACGAATCCATGGTATGGCCCCAGGTCTTCAGAGATTTCCCAGCTCCTCCTCCTGATCTCAACATCATTCCCACAAACAGCCATAGGACTGCCACACACAGATATGGTCAACCTATTTTAGTTACCACTGGAAAGAGGCAAACTGTCACTGTAAAACTGAGGGATATTCAGTCTCTGACCAGAAAATAATTTTAGGGAAAATCCCATTTCAGTAGAATTCCTCCGATCTCCTGCAATTCCAAGATGAAAAAAAAAAGGAAAACAAAGAACCAGGAAAAAAAAAAGAGTTCTAACATGCTTTAAATATAAAATAAGTTTGGCAGAAAAAAGAAGAAACTAGCTGGAATGATTTTTAAAATCCCCATCAGTGAGAAAATTAGTCAGTCCATGCTTGTATATTGTCACTGAACATACCCAACAGGTAGCCACGTGTATAAGTTTTGTTGCATCCGCACCGTACCGTGTATCTCTTACAATGATGCCTGTGGCATTGACCCAGTTTTATTTCTTTGAGCCCAATTTTCTTAAGCCACTACATGTTCCTTGTTTGATATGGACAAGAAGAGGACAAGTTCTATGATAAGAATTAATAGAAACAATGAAGTATCCTCCAAGACCTAGGAAAACCTTGCAATTTCATTCAGCTGCAACTGGAGATACCAATTTAGCAAGGAATCCCACAGAAATTTATAGCCAAAGGCTATAAACTGCAAAGGAGAGAATAATTTTTTACCTGCAACCTGGCAGTTAATGCTAACATTTGCTTTCTGGATTGTTTTCAGCATGCTTCCAATATCAACAGTGACGGCAGGTGATTCGGTGTTGATCATGGTAGCTCTTGATGCCTTTATCAGTGGCTTTCCTGCATAAAAGAAGCATCACAGTTTATCATAACAAGAACATTGGAGTCACAATGGCATAGATAGATTGGAACACTCTTTGTGAAAGTACATGCAACAGGCAGGCAGATAAGGGAAAATGAACTGTAAGGGCACCTGCTTTTTATAATATTTCAGTGTCACCAAATTCCATGGGTAATGCTGTCTTGAAAAAAGAAAAGGCATGCTTGAAGCAGAGGCAGAATAGCATTTGGACACACAGGAGAACCAGCTGAATCAATAACCAGCACAATAATCAACACCAGCACAACTGGAGCTGCAGTGAGATGCTTGCCTGGCACTGCAGCTGCACCACCACCCTTTAGTAAAGACCAAACCCAGGAGCCTGAGTGATGGCTACAAGCACAGTGGAGAAAGTTTAGAGTAACATGCATGCTGTTTCTACAAAATGATCATGGTTTCCTTAACCTACAGGGGAAACAACAGGGTGGGGAAGACCAGATCAAAACCAGAAAGTTTTCTCATGATGGCCAGCAGAAGAAGATGAGGGTTATAAACTGAATTAATGCTATACACCATTACTAGATGTTTTAGATAAAACAAAACAGGTTATCTGATAGGAAGCGGTTTGTCTCTAATACATCTACTGCTTTGCCCACAATAAAGTGTGCTTTTGACATTGGTGACAGCAATTCAAGGTGTTTCACTGTTGCTGTCGTATTTGTGGCATTACTTACAAAGTTATCCACCATCAGTGGCTCAAGATGCCTTCTGCAAATCCTTTTGTAGAGCTACTGTAAAGGGATGCTTACAAAATAGGTCAGGGGTACCCAACCTTAGCTTTGAGAGAGAGGACTAATGCAGCAAAGCTGACAAGAGCCGAATTAAGGTGCTCCCCTGTCTCAGAGAAAGTCATGATGTTGCAGGAATAGCAGAACATAACAGAATTACTGAATTGCTTTAAATCACAGGGGACTTGGGTGTTTTTGACTTTTCAAACACATTTTCAAACACATAATTTTCCAAAAAGCTAAACCTTTTCTCTCCCATTTGAAATAAATGGTCAGATACAAAACCAGATATCCTCTTTGGTCTCCAAAAGCTGCAGCTTCAGGCTAATGTCCATCATTAGCTTTATTTGTATGCTAATTTGGTACTGACCAACGAAAAAGATGGATCTGAGAAAAAGAATTTGATTTCATTGAGTTCATGGAGAGTTCTGAAAATTTAAGTCAGTCTTAAATATTACTCTCTCAAATAGCTGTACTTCGAGGGTTTTTAAAAAATATCATTCATCTGTAACTCGTGTCATATCAGTTTAGTTTTTTTTTATACTTTACATTTTATTTTAGTTTGATCATTTTAATGTCCAAGAATAGCAAAGTGAAATACTATATTTTATTGTTTGAATACCTTCAAAAGTTTTGATACTTTTTGGCAAAGCCTAAAGAAAAGAAAAAAAAAATCTTCAGCTATCCATCAGCCTTTTATTTTCCTGATTGGTTTCCATAACGCCACCACAAGATTAAAAATCTTTAAGCTGTTCAACCCATAAATGAGTAGCAAACCATTGTGAAATCAAAAAGGAGCATATTCCACTGTCTTTTTTTTTCCATGCACGTGTTAAATGAATCAGAAAACTCTTCAATGAAATAAGCTTTTGTCCCCTCTCTTGATTCCTCTAAGATGATCTCAGCTTTCCATGTTTTTTGGAGAAAATACTTCCATTATGGCAAAAAGATTGTTACTTTGTTCCAAAAACTGCTCAGTATTTCACTTTGATATTTATGGCCTCATTTTGTAGGCTGTTCAGCTCTTTGCTTTTGGTGTAGATGCAAAAGTATACCAGTTCCTAAGAGGAGTTCTGCTTGAGTCTGGGAAGCATGAATGTTAGTTCACCTAAAAGTTTAAATTACAACTTTGATAAATAATTATAATCAAAAAGCTTAAAGTCTTCCTGTGTCACATGTATACCTAGGGCTTTATTTTTACAGTGTCATACAAAATTATTGCCACAACATGTACAAAAATTATGGCTTTTACACTAACTGAACAACATGGACAGAATAGCAGTTTTGACTGATGATTTTTTAATCTCATGTTCAGCTTCATGCTGGTGCAGCATAAGAAGATAATTTGTACAGCTGCTTCTTCTAAAGTATGACACTACCCTAACAGCAGCACTACTGCCTTGCTGCCTGGAGTTCAGCAAAGCTATTTCTGATAGTAGTAGTGTAAAAAGGATCAGTCTCTTCAGTTTTGCCTACAAATAATTTGTAGCTCTGATGTAGATCTTTCTTTTTGCTTTGGAAGATTCACCCATTCTGCTAAAGGACAAGACGAAGTCTCTTTCTAGTTGATTTACTGATTTTCTAAGCTTCACTGTTATTCACTGTTGTCTTATTACATTTTATTTATGCTTTTCTTAACTGAAATTTTCTCTATGTTTGGTGTAATTTTTTTTTAATTAAAGCTTACCAAATCCTATTCCTTTCTCTAGTCATACATGGATACAATGGCAGGTGATGGCTGCTGCCTATGCATTGGAAGCCTCCAAGCATTTCCACATGCTAAAGCAATGAAATGGATAAGTCTGCAGAATCAATATGCTTTTCAGTATTAGCATGTTTACTTTTGCCTTGGATAGATAAATAGGATCCTACATCTGTAAAATGTCTCTGCCCTGTCACACTTATTAGCTGTCATTGTCTGTTCTGTTCCTGTATCTTTCTCAGCAGCTCTTCATTCATGTTTGCTGCTCCACCCTTCTGCTAGTGCTGATGTGGTTGTGAACCTGCTGACCATGTCTGCTAGAGAATCCTGAAGAAGCTGTATACATACTTCTAACTTCCTTTGCTTTTACCTGGATGAGTTTTTGTTAGAATTGAATTCTAAACCAGCACAGGATATTTAGTCTCTTTAGAACCTGTTACTAGAGGAATAGAAACAAGGAATCTAATTTTTTGAGAACCTTTATTTGCTACAGTTGAAACAGTGTCAGTGATGCTTGTGAAAGATTCAGCTCTGGAAGTTTTCTTGTTTGCCTAATGTACACCTGAGTAACTTCGGCAATGCATCTGTTATACTTGAAGAGATCAGCGTCAGGTTTAAAAATGAATCACAGAAGTTGGGAGGCTTGGACTGCACTGCCCCTACAGGCTGCAAATAACCAAGATAAGTGCTGTTTTAAGAGCATGTCAGATGCAAGTGAGAAAAGACATTGATGTCTTGCAAAGACAAATACACCTCACAAACTATCTATGAAAGCCTCAGGTTTTTGCAGAGCTCACAGCCCATGTTTTCACCAGTGTACTTCTGTTGATGCATTTTACACAGCTTTAGCAGCCCCCACAAACAACTTCTGTTCAGATTCACACAACTAAAATGGACCATCCTGCAATCACAGAGGTTAAACTTTTACCTGCTAGGGTGACAGCAATGGAGACAGAGTCAGATCCCAGGGCATTGGATGCATTGCAAGCATAGAAACCCACATCAGCTTCCACAGGTGCTAGAATCTGCAAGGAGTCATCAGGCTGAAGGAGCAACCTGGCATAAAGCAGAAAGAAAGAAAGAAAGCTGTAATAGTCTCTTAGTCCATGTGAACATGAACATATTTACTGGGAATTTGTAGGCTTAGGTAATATTTTTTATAGATCAGGCCTTTAGGTTAAATTTAAAAACATATGAAGAAATTTAAATTCTTACATTGAGACGGTAAGTTGTGATTACTTAAATTAAATTTTTTGTCTCAATCCCAGTTCCTCTACTGCTGATATGTGTATTAAAGAAAGACTGCCAAAAAATTAGGACATCTGCCCAGTGAAACCTCCTCTGCTGTACCACTTCTGCATAATGCTGAATGAGTTTCCCAGCATTGCTGTCTTCCAGTTCTGCAGCATAGGAATAGCAATAGTAAGAAAAAGCCAAATTATCACAAGGGAAAAATAATGAAACATGCTGAAGCTATGCAGAAAGAAGTGAAGTGAACCACAGGGTCAGTATTAAAGCCTGAAATAGGTTCAGATTCTTTTATTCATGGGCAGCTTGTACAAACTCAGCAGTCTTGATTCTTCCCTAATAGTCAGTGAAGACAGAGAGGACTTCTCAGCTCCTCCTTGGGCTGAACCCACTGTTTCTTTCTTCTGCCAGTAAGAGGAGAGTACCATGAGCTCAATGTACTGCCTATGGCTAAATGGAATTAAAATGGTCTTAGTGCTCTTATGAACTGCTTATTTTTGCTGTCTGGTTTTGCAGTGGTGTAACTCATAAGGTCCTGATACGTGGTGCTGCATATTTGTTGTGATAATCCTTTTGATTATTGTTGTAATGTAGTCAATATGTTTGTATTCAATATGTTTGTATTCAATTGTTCATTCCTAGCAACCTCCTCACAGCTGGTTTAGCCCAATGCTGTTTCCTCCCCTTTCCTGTCTGTTAGTGCAAATACCTACCCCAATTTCCCTATCCTTCTATGTCTACCATTGTAGCCCTGCCCCTCTGCCTTGTCATTTAAGTGACAAGTTAAGATCATTGAGGGTTCCCCTCAAGTAGCTGAGATGGACGCAGTTGTCAGGGTCTTTGAAAGATTCACAGAGCCAATCAACATTGTCACTGATTCGGCTTGCATGGTGGGGGTAGTATCTAGGACAGAGCACATAGTGCTGAGAGAGGTCTCGAACCCAGTGATTTTTAGGTTGCTCTCAAAACTTACACAGCTGGTTTCCCAGTGAGAGCAACCATTTTACATAATGCACACGAGATCACACTCTGACCTTCCCGGTTTCATCGCAGAGGGGAATCAAAGAGCTGATGCTCTGGCTATACCACTGCAGCTGGTTGGCCAACATAACATCTTCAATCAGGCCAAACTTAGCCATCAGCAATTCCATCAAAATATGTCTGGTCTGGTCCGTCAGTTCCATCTTAGGTGTGACCAGGCCAGAGCGATCGTGGCCACATGCCCCAACTGCCAGGAGTCCTCATTACCATCTATGGGAGCAGGGGTGAACCTGAACCCTAGAGGACTCCAAAGTTGCGAGGTGTGGCAGACAGATGTCACCCACATTCCCCAATTTGGAAGACTTTAGTATGTGCATGTTTCGGTGGACACTTTCTCTGGTGTGGTCTACGCCTCAGCCCACAAGGAAGAGAAGGCCAGAGATGCACAGAATTACCTAGTGCAAGCCTTCTCCACCCCAGGGATCCCTACGGTAATTAAAACAGACAACGAGCTGGCCTATACCTCCAGGGTGTTTGGTGAGTTCCTGCTGGAATGGGAAGTTCAACATTGGACAGGGATTCCATACTCCCCTACTGGCCAGGCAATAATAGAACGAACTCATCAGAATCTGAAGAAAATGTTAGAACATCAGAGAGAGGATGTTGAGATCATATCCCCATATATCAGGACCTTAAAGGTGCTGTTCACCATTAATTCCTTGAACTGCTCCTTTGAGAACCTGAATTCCCTAGTAATAAGACATTTCCATCAAAATAAGATGCTAGAATTCAGAGAGTGGCCACCAGTCATGGTAAAAGATCGAGAGACCTGTGAGACCAGAGGGCCTTTCGAATTAATAACCTGGGGGTGTGGATACACTTGCGTGTCCACTCCCTTAGGCCTTAGGTGAATCCCATGCAAGTGTGTCAAGCCCCATATTCCATCCAGGGGCAAGGACAGCAACAAAACCACCCCTTGCCCTTCAAACAATCCCACTGACGTATCTGTGGCCTCAAATCATAAAAGGAAAAGGGAAGGGGAGGAATCATGAATATTATGCTTTCGTTATATCATAATTACTGAAAGTTTGTATTGAGTTGCTTGTATGTTACTTTTCTCTTCTTTAAGCAACATCCATTGTGGTCATCAAAATGTGGAGACATCTGTGGCTCCTGATGCTGCTGGGCTAGTCCCCAGAGGTGTGGATTGTCCCACAGCTGAAGCAAAACATCTGGGTTACCCTTGCCCGTACACTTCAATGGGACCATCTGTCTTTCTATGGCCGCCGTGGATGACCCAGTGTCAGTGTGCCTGGTGTGGGGATTCCATTTTCCTTTAATCAGTATCCAACTCAGCTCTGGGCCCTCACTAATGAAATCAATAAAACTCCTGCCCTCATTTATTGTTATGCTCCTATTACAAACCTTTAGTGTTATGTCGTAAGTGGTCTTCTGAGTTACCTGAATTTGAGAAAGAGCCCACTGAATTTGAACTCCTTGGTTCCTCTGTTGGACCCTATTATGTTCAATTCATTTTTAAACCCCGTTATTACCCCGAGTCTTATACTTCTGTTAAGATCCATAAAAAAGAGTTTAAGGCAGCAAAATGGTGTCAATCCATCACACACCTGAATATCCCATCAAGTGAAAATCAGTTACCGCTCAAGCTGCCAAAACACGTCTTTTTAATTTGTGGGCAAAGGGCCTGGGTGGGAATCCCCTCTTATCTAATAGGAGGCCCGTGTACCATTGGACACCTGTCCCTGTTTTCGCCAAGCCAAACCCAAATTTTAAATTTGCAATCTAAATCTAACTATTTGGCAATCCAAAAACGTAGCATTAAAGAATTTGATGAGCATTGCGACTATGAAAATGTCCACTGGTCACTTTCATAAAGAACTGCTGTCTCCATCTTTTTACCGTGGGTAGTGGCAGCAAAAGTGCTAGGTGAATTGGGCCACCTAGAGTGCTGGTAGGGTGAAACAGGCCAACTTGACCTCAGCTGCTCTCAGCAACCGCCTAGAGAATAAGGAAGCAACCAGGCGGGCCACACTACAAAATTGTGCAGCCCTAGACTTCAAACTCTTCTAGTGCACAGGCATGGCTGCGAAGAGTTTGAAGGATGCTGTTGCTTTAACATCACAGAGAAAAGCCAGAATATCCAGAATATCAATCAACAAAATTAAGGACATGATGCACACCATCAAGGAAGAGACCAGGGACTGGTTCCAAAACTTAAGAACTGGGACCTATCCGGGCGGATGTCCTCAATTGTGAAAGACGTTTTATGGGTTGTTTAGTTCTCCTTCATTCTGCAGTCGTTAACATCGCTAAAAGAGTTTTATCAAGAAAGACTGTCCACCACAGGTGTCTCCCGCCACAACAGTGGTGGGAAGAGAACCAAGTTTGAAGTCTACCATTCCTCCCCACAGCTCCTTAAAGAAAACTAAACAAAAAAGGGGGAGATGTGATGGTGCGTCTTCGTTGTGATAATCCTTTTGGTTATTGTTGTAATATAGTTAATACGTTTGAATGGTTCGTTCCTAGCAACCCCCTCACAGTTGGTTTAGCCCAATGTTTCCTCCCCTTTCCTGTCTGTTACTGCAAATACCTAACCCTAATTCCCTATCCTTCTATGTCTGTCATTGTAGCCCTGCCCCTCTGCCTTGTCATTTAAGTGGAATCCCAAGCTTTCCTTCTAGAACCCTCCGTGTCATCTATGTAATAATCCCTGGATTCCTATAGGTTCTGGAAGAGCGTTCTTCTCCCCATGTACGCCTGGTTGGTTCTGAGGCAATGTGATCCCGCCTTGCGCTCCTCCCCCATTCTCCCTGGTTTGTTACTGTGTTGTCTCCTCCCCTGAGACCTCCTCCCTTTATAAGTTGTAACATTGCACTTTTCTTGGTTCTTTTGTCACTGTACCCTTTCAGCGGTACTTTGTCCCCTTCGGAATAAAGCCTCTTGGAGACGCATACAAAGGACCTTTCCCGCTCCTTTATCTTGGCGCTTGGCGCTGCAGTCCATCTGTCCGCAGTCAGAAGTGTCGGTCACCCTCTGGCTGCACCGCTACGCTTGCCTGTCGGTGACTGGGCAGGGAGCGGCCACTCGGCGGCACAGCCCCGAGGGAGAAAGTGAGCTAGCCCGGCTAAGCTTTCCCCCAAAATTGGACGCTCTGTCACTGGTATACACCTATTTCAGCAAGAATTCAGTGCATTGTGCTTATGTACTCTTCTTTTCATCACACTGTGATCTGTGATTGTTTCTCTGAGTTTTCTTTTTAGCTGAAACTGTAGATAAAATCTAGTGTTCTTGTCAACAACTTTCAGTATTTGTCGCTTGTACACCCGTAACTGAGGCTGTGATTGACAGTGGGTGGCAAGGATGAAACTGGGGGAGGAATATGCCTGTAAAACACATGCAATAGAAATCTGCTCACAGGTCCTGGAATTGATGAGTTTCTTTACACTCCCATCACCACAATAAAAACTGTTGTCTCATGGATGAATAAGCCACGCTGTGGGTGGTAGATCTTTAAACCAAACCAGATTAGGGCCACCCAGCAAAATCTATTAGAGGAAAAAACCTCCAGAGTTAACATTATTTTTTTTACCCTTCTGTGAGTAATAAGAAAAATAGTAATTACCAATAAAGAGATGTCTGTTTTTAAACAAGTTTTGTAGATGTTTAGAAAAATGCACATTTGCAAAACAAACATTAATACTTTTAAAATTGCATCTGTGCTTTCACAGCTAAAAAAACACCAATGGCTGAAATAATTCCCTTCCCACTTTTGCTGTCAAGGATGTTTTTCTTACCTCTTAGTCATAACCAGGGCGGACTAGATAGTCACTGCTAAGAGTGACAGCAAATAACAGATTTTTTTACTTGCAGAACTAATGTTAGTTAGTTTAACATTGTATGTATAATGTTAAACTAACTATAATCTTGATGTATAATCTTTATCTCACACATAAATTTTTAGTTTAACACTGACTACTTCAATCATTACATGGAATTCATTAAATCTTCAGAAGTTGTCCCAAATTATAACAACCTGTAACATTTAAGTTCTGTGTGTTCTGTCTGCATGTCTGCAGATATAGTATGTAGGTAGATCTTCAGTCTACTCCAAACTAATGCTTACAAGGCCCCTAAAATAGTTTTAATTAATGTTTCTGACATCTTCAGGCTGAGGAAAGATCTTGCCTAGTATTGCACCTTATAAAACACAAGGATGAATAATTTGTTATTAATCATCTCTCCTGACATAAAACTCTCTCTGACAGCTTAAGTCACCTAAAGATCGGCACAAATATTTTAAAAATAGAGGTAGTCCTGGTAGATACTTGCATTTAAAAAAAAATGAACTCCAACATAGCTCAATTCTCCTATTCTCGCAGCCCAAGTTTTAATGTCCTTCTCCTCTTTTTTTTCAATAATTCTCTTATTTGTGCATCACAATTTGGCATAGATGCTGTTTTTGAAAGCAGATCCTTTATCATTCCTCATTGTATAGAATTATTTTGGCTGAATTCCCTATGTGCTCATAGAAGGCTATTTTTGTTAGGTATTGAGTTGCTTGTCCGGGCTGGAAAAAAACAACCAGCTGTAGCAATTATTTGTGTCACCAGCGTGTCTTCAGAATCTTATTTATGGACTGAAAATAATATAGCTTAATATTTAATCAGTGTCATCTCACTTGCTCCACACTGCATTGCCTCCAAGACAAAAACATATTTTACAAGACATATATCAATGACTAAATCAGACAAACACCTAACAAACACCTCGCAAACACCTAACTCCATACCACTTCCTGTTCACATGCTGCTTCATGTCCTTTCCTAAAATTTTTTTCTATTTTGGAGAAATGAATTATCAAGCACCAATGGATCCCCAGTGACAGAAATTGCAGCATACTTGCAAGGCTTATTAAACAGTGCATAAATTTCTCAAAGATTTTTCACTTTTAAAACTGATTCCTAAGGAATTTAATCTGAATTTTCTTTAAAACAAAACATTTAACAACATATACAGCAGTCAGAAAACTTTGGCATGGATTCTAGTAGGCTCTGAAATGGCATTTAGAACCTATGTTGGTGTTAACTTGACTCTTTAACCTTAGGAGAGAATGTGGAATTTTCTGTAAATAAGTACTCAGGATGAATAGGCAGACATAAGCTGGGGATCTTTTACTGGAACCACAGATATTTTCAACTGTTGCAGCTATTTGTGCCATGTGTTTTCATTCTATTGTGTAACTAAAAATCAGCACTTTTGGGGGCCCTATGTTATATCTTTTCACGACTGTATCTAGACTAAAGTCAAAGAAAATTAATTGTTGCAAGAATAGCCATGCAGTAGAGTCATACTTTTAGGTGGATTAAACAGCTTATGGAGTAGGGCAATGAGAATAGAGCCATACATCAACCATCATTACTGGACATCACTGGCTCAGACAAAATCCACGGCCACAATGTGTAAAAGTGAATGCCTTTATGTCAGTGGTTTGTATATACAAAGCAGCCTATACTCTAAGAATTGCAACACCCACCAAGTACTTCTGAAATCTCAGTATATTCAATAGAGTATAACCTGAGGAACTTCAGCATTACTCTCTGGCCATTCTCAGCAGAAGTGTCTCTCTCTGATACTGGTAGAGGAAAGCCCACCTCTATTTATTTCCTTATTCCCACTAAGACAGAGCTGGGTTGGAAAATTCTCTTCTCAATTCAATGGAGAATTGAATACAAAGAAAACAAACTGCAGAGCTGAAGGACAGTTCAGACATACCAGACACCACCACATGTTTACATCTGTGGCCTTGCAGTACAGCAGTACTCTCTAAGTCTGCTTAAACTGCAGCTTCCATTGACACAGCTGACTGACAGGCAGCAAGAGCATTCTGAGCCAAAACCAGAATACTGAGGTTAAAGAACTCAGCAAAAAATCCAGAAAACAATTTTTTTACACACCACAATTTCTTAACTTCTGTTAGCTCCAAAGGTATAGGTGTTGAAGCTATACCTGAAGCTTCTTCCCCCACACACCAGCATGGGGGAATTATAAATGGTGAGTACAGAAGGAAGTTCATAAAGCAGAAACTGCCTCAATATTTAAAGAAGAGTTGTCAATGACTTATGCCACTAACTGGAAAAGAAATGATACTTTCCTCAGACTTTCTGATAGAAATTTTGAGTACACAACTGACTGATAATTCATAAAAAACCCACAACATTTAAGGCTATTTCAGCCAAACTGAATGAGAAAAAAAAAAATGAAAAGGAATTGTGAAATTATATATTAAAAAATCAGAAATAAAACTTCAGGAATCATATAAGTGTGTCTTTCTTCAGCTAAATTAATCTACATGTTGTGATACCACGAGAGATTATAGGGTGTGAAATAAGTTTGCCAATTTCTCATGACTGTGATGTCCAGCATTCCTCATATGTCAACTTCATGTAACATCCCTTCCCTTTCATGGATGCCACAGAAGTAACAGTCATTTCAAACAGAGAAAAAGCCTCAATTTAATGGCCCAGTTCTGAAAGGATATAACTGCTAGACAAAAATTTATATATGAAACTTGTTTTGGAGGTGACCTAAAGATATTTTCACCAGAACATATCCAAATGAAGGGATTCTATATGTCCAAGTCATGATTATGACTGTATGTGATCTCCACCAGAGGTACATTCTTGTTCTCAGTGACTTCTACCCCTTCAAAAATTACCTTTATTGGTTTTTTTTTTTGGTGTCAAATTTAATATACTTATTAGCCTTCAGACAGAGAGGCAAGAACCAGGAAACTCAGATCATTATAGAAAGCAATTACTTTTTCATTGATTCAATAGTCAAAATAAAGAAGGACCTAAGAAACTAATTTCATAACTGTATAGAAGCGTCAATTTTACCTAAATCAAGACTTTACTGGATGATCCAAGGGCACCACACTGGAAATTAATTTTTGTCTTGACTCCATAATTTCCCATGATCTTATGACTAAATGTATATGTCTTAGCTGAGGTCAGTATCTTGTGCAGAAGGAGTTGCTAGCAGATCCCAGGACAACTTTGTTGTACTGTGTTGCTCATTATCACTGTCTACTACAGTCTTTTCCTGTTCTTGTATAATGATTTCTCACAGAACAGAACCAAAATATAAAATCCCAAGCATACACATGAGAAGAACGTATGTTATCAACACAGTTAAACATATAATTTGTACTGAAAATAACCTCTTTCTGTGGGCTCTTCCACACCAACTAATAATGCGGAGGGATCAGAAAGTATAGGATGCCTGAAGAAAAAACAGCGTAATTTTTGTGGCATACCGATGAAAGCATTTTGTTATGTCAACTTCTCAGGTTACACCTGGTACCAGCATTCTGGAATTTAAAGAGGTGAGGATCCACCAACTCACATGAGAAGACAAATGCTAAATTATCCGTCGGTTGAGACGACAGCAAAGCTGCCAACAACCATGAGGTGTGGTTCCACAATTTACAGCCTTCATCAGCACATACATAGTAAATGGTGATGGTAATGCCCTTTTAGGCTTATCCTGGGGCTGTTTAATGCAAGGATACATATGTGGAAGGCAAAAGCCACATCTCCTCCATCTTCTCTTACCATGTCTGTCAAGCCCTCCTGTAGCACTAGGAGAAATGCAAATTCAGCTCCAACAGAAGATAATAGCAACAATCATTGACCAATTTTCATATCTCTAAATCATTCTTCATAGCAAAAATCTCCACCTTCAGATTGGGAAATAAACTAATTTGACTCAGTCTCTGGATGCAGAGTGCTCTGTTGACTGTATTAGGCACTTATGTCCTTTAGTAATGTACAATCCCTTCCTTTTTACTTACTCAAACAGAAGTAAGGTTCCTGTCTGATACACCAGTCTGACCCAGCATCCAGACCTTGCTGAAGATTTACAGTGCTCTGTTTAACCCATTTACCAATTCACATGCACTTGCCCTTCCTTCTGTTATGAAATCAGACTACAGCAAAACATGGTTTTGTCCACGGGACTGACAAGCAGTAACACATGGAAAGTGACGAGTCAAAATATCACTTATTTTCTTAAAAGTTAAATAACATGCTTTACCTATCATTGTATTTCACTTCCTCTCCATTCTTAGCCCAGCTGATGGTGGGCTTTGGATTTCCCACTGCTTCACAGTGAAGCAACACACTCAGTGTGCCGCTTGCTAGGACCACAGTCTGTCCCAGGTGGGTGACAACCTCTGAAGCAGAAAGTTGTTGTGCTGCTGAAATCTTTCGGAGGATGGCAGGCTTTTGGTGAGGCCTGTGCAAGTGATTTGCCAGGTCTACAGAGGTGGGAATAAATGTTTCGGCAGATGATGCCCTCAAGGAGCTGGTAAATCCAGAAACACGTCTGTGATAAGGGTACTCCACTGAGGTTGAATCCATTTTTTGCCTTGATGCTTTGAGGACAGATTCCTGGTGGTCCAAGTAGCTTTTGAAAACCTCATGAGCCAGGTGCACAACAAGATGCTCAGTGTAGGTATCTTTAAGCTCCTCAGGTTGTTGAGACAAATTCCTTATGATATCATCCAAGCGTTTCTGTTCTGTGACCATAGTAAATGGCAGGCTATGCTCCCGGCTCTGGTCCTCTTCAGAGGATGCATTTCTCTCCACAGACTCCTGGGCTTCCCAGGACTCCAAATTTTCTGCTGGCCAGCCCCTGAGCTGTAGCAGCCTTGAGACAATATTGTCATACCATCTACTGGGGTTAGCAAGATGTCCTTGCTTTTCAGCCTTGCTACCATTGAAGAAAATCCCATTGAGATGTTTATCCTCTGTTCGCAAAGCATCATTTAAACCGGCCTTTCTCATGACTTCTTCCTCCCTAATACCAGCTGGTTGCCCAGCAATGATCTTCTTGTTGCTTCCAATCAGTTTAATTATGAAGTGCTCCCGGGCTGGCCCTGCTGTGCAGGTGTATGTCCCAGTGTCTGAAGGTTTCAGATGATGTATTTTCATGTATCCATAGGGTGCAATGGTGATGTGAGCTGAACTGACAAGCCTCTTGTCGTCCTTCTCCCAGGTGATCATTGATTTCCGGAACCTCCTGGTAGGGCATCGGAGAATAACAGAAGTTTTGGGCAGCAGGTAGGCATGTCCACCCACAATGAAGTGCAGTTTCTTCTGCTTCCTCGTCTGGATGTAAACTTGCTTTACAGCCATAATATGGGGGCCTTGCTTATGAGCTGGTCTGTTGCGTCCTGAAATATCATTATATAATTAGTATGTGATACCATTAAACAAAACAAGTAGTTTACATTGTTGTGGGAAGCATTTGACCCAATAGACAGTAATGGAAGAAACTAGACACCAATTGCTGGACATTAAACTAGAACAATCAAAATAAGAGGAATAATAAGACACACTTCAGGAATGTGAAAGTAGCCTAGAGAGTAGAAACCAAACAGCTAGGGATAAAAGCTTTACGGGCGAGAGAAAACTTCAGTGGAAACATAGTTCTTGTTAAAGTACTTAAACAAAGACTGTTATTTAAGAATGCACTGAATAGACAAGTGTTTATCATCCAAAGCTTCAAAGACAATGTGATCTTGCAGCTCACAACAGCAAGGAAGTATGAAAGTCTTGCTACCTCAAGGAGTAATGTTGTACAGAAAAAAACTCTCTGGGCTAGGCTTAAAAACATGGTAAATACTGTTAAAGTTCACTAGTTCAGCATGTCCTTCTCTTTTCCTGATCTCTGTGTCTGAGATCTTTATTATGAAGCACTAAATTCAGCTGCATAGGCATATTATTAGTAAATACCATGCAAAATTTGGTCCTAGCTTTAGTTCCAAACATCAGATCTTCTTTTCTCCCTACATACCCAACATTCAGCAGTTTCAGAGGCAAGCTGAAGCTAGGCTGACTTTCACATATCCAGTTGGCTTACTGCAAACTGGGGAAGATTATACAGGGGAACTTATGATGGGCAGAAACAAATATGGGCACGAACCACCAATATAAAATACATCTACTTCTGTTGCACGGTTCATTAGAAATCTCATGTCATAGAGGATTTGGAGTGACATAATGAAATAATACATTTCTAAATGATCGTCAGCAAAATCCCTTACCAACCATTTTCCTTGCAGCTGTTCTAGCAGCCAGTTTATTTGCTCCAGCCCTCCAGCTGCTGCGCTGTATCTCTGAGCCTCTACATTCCAGCTGTGAATTTCAGATCTAGATTTTGGTCAGAATTTTGAGCCAGTTCTTCCAGAAAGTAGTAGTTACCTTCCAGCACAATGGCTGATATCCAGTTCCATTAGTGAAATCTGTAGCACTCCTCCACTGGCTTGATTTATTTACAGACAGAAAAACCCACTCCACAAGACTGAGCAATACTAGTGTGAAAGCAGGCTGTGAAGCAGGAAATAGCATGGATTTCTTAGTGAAGCACTTCCAATCCCTTTTCCCCAGACACTGCCAAACACCTTTTCCACTTACGTGCACAGGGGCCTAGTGAACAGGGCCTGATCAAGGCTGAGAATGGCAAAGGGAGGCAGAGTGAGGAATTGATGATAAGATAGTCCCCGGTTTTCAGCATCTTTCTGCAAGTAGCATTTCGACTCTGCGTGCCTTCTCCACAGCTCACTGAACACTAGGAACAGGATGAGAAACATTAGGAGAAATGAAAAAGGTGCTCCTTGTCACACACTCCTCAGCTCCCATATCCACATTGTACACACACACCACAGGCCAGAGCATTTCAAAATGGATAGAGTTTTCAAAATGTTGCAGCGGAATAAAGCAGAGCAGCATCTGACCATGCAGCTACAAACAGTGCAGGCACAGTAAGGAGATGAAATACTTTTTATTTTCTGTCCTGTAAGGCTTAGTTTCTTTCCATGCTCCTGTTATCACATCTTTTCTGTCAGATAATGTCTCTTGTTTTAATGGTACTGTGCTACAGTTCAAAGCCAGTCTTTGAGCTTTGTTTCTAAGTGTTCGTGTCTGCTAGCTGGAAAAACTCCAGCTCATGTCCGAGAGCACACCTCACGGAGTTGAAGATCACAGTTGCATTCTGGGCCAGATAAAATCTGGCCTAAGCTTAATCTTTAAGCTTTGCTGTTGCCAATCCATTTAGGAATAACAAAGGGATGAATATTTTAGTCACCAATTAATTACCTCAGCCTTGTATTTACTACACATGGCCTACACAGAATGGTATAAACCCTCTAATACCAGACTGCAGTGCTTGTTGCACAGGTGGACATGGTTTGATGGACTTCATCATGACTATTCAGTTTCATATTTATGCATATAGAATTGTGGAAAAAGAAATACAGTGTCTGTGCACTGGAACAAAGTCTGTAAAAAGAGCTAAAAAATGGGCAAAGCACTGTAATTACCATCTTCACTGCCAGAATGGCTGTTTGTCTCCTGGCAGAAGACTTGATGAAAACATACACTAATTTCAGAAAAATCCCCAGACAGATCCCCAATAAAAAGGGCACAGGTGGGACAGCTCCGTAGGGTGACTGGCATTTCTTTTACAACTTCCACAAGACAATTTCCACTACCTTCCATGAAAGAGGACTGGAAGAGTGGTGGCAGAAACTGCAAGATGTGGAATAATTTTCATGCTTACTGACATGAACCTTTGCCTTTGCTTTGACCTTATAAAGTAAAATTATATTATTATAATATCTCCTTCCCTTTCCCTTTCCCTTCCACTTCCCCTTCTCCTTCCTTCCTCTCTTGCTCCCTCCCTACCTCTTCTTTTCTATTTTCTTCGTCGTAGGAAAGAGTTGGAGTGGCCCCAAGAGGAAAAGACCATAGAGATCAGAACAGCTAGGTTTTGGCAACAAAGAGCATGTAGCCTAGGGTGAAAAAGATTACTCTTCATTGATGCCTTGGATGAAATAATAAGCGTAGGCAGGGACAGAGGCAGGGATTTACTGTTTGGAGCGTGACTTGTGTTTACACCAGAAGGGTCTTAAAAGGTTTGGTCAGATGGCTAAAGCACATCTGTGGAAGGGCACACCACAGAGGAACATGGAGCTAGTGATAACATCCCCAATCAGGATGATAAGGACAGATTACAGGACAAAACTGGGCATAACATGCTTTGTGGAGTCTGACCTTATTTGGGTTCTCTATCCCAAATGGCTAAGGAATTTAATCTCCAAGATCTGTACAATACTCATACAAACAAATAGTATACCTGTGTCCACTCAGAGAGAAGCCACTCATTGGGACAATCCTCATTTTTGCAGGCTTGTTGTGTAATTGTCCTTGGCATGGAGCAGAAGGTTTCTGGCAGCTCTAGCAAGCTTCCATCAGCCAGGCGCTGCTTACAAAGTGTATCTCGCTTCTGGACACCACCACCACAGGTCTGTGAGCACTGTGAGAAAAGAGAGACAGCTGCCTCACACCACACCCATACCACCCCACTTGCTGCAAAAATTACTTGTGAATTAGGGTAGAAATCAACACTTGGTCCTGACCAAATAGAAAACATAAACCAAAAATTTCAGAGATCTCAAAGTAGACTGCTTTTAAAAATGTCAAAATTATTTTGGAAAGGGGAAGCAGGTTAGTTTGCTAATATTTAGAAAAACTGTTTCAGTATTTCTGAAGTGTTCTGTTTTAAGGTGTTCTTTCAAAATACATGGAAACAGTGGGTCAGCATTGCAGTATGGGAAGTCTGGGAGGTGGGAAATCTGTCCTCTCCACCTGGAAAATGAGACAATTTCATGTGATGTGGAGAATCTAAATAGTAACGTCTGTGTCTGAGCTCTGACACTAATGGTGTCAGAAAGAGTGGAAAAGTTTTGTCCAGCAGTAGATAAGTAAATTGAGATTATTAATATCCAGAGAACATCTCCCCTCTGTCTTTTATGTAAATATCCCTCTCTACATCCATTTTTCTACTCAAGCAGGGCAGGAATTTTTGAGTAAACAAATTTACTAGATTTCCTGAATATTTTTTAAAATATAAGTTGCTCAGCCCTTTTTCCTGAGGATCCTTTTTCTGAGGCTGGTAACAGGCTCCCAGTTCTGATCAGTTCAGCCAGCTCAACTCCTTTTCACCTTTCATCTAGCAAAGGAAAGCGGGAGCTTGCATTACATTGACATGACCAGGAGTTGCTTATAACTTGTGACATGGCAATTATTCAAGAGAAACAGACAATAATATGGAGAAGTATTAAAAAGTATACTTAAGCAGTTAAAAAGGGAGTGTTTTAAAAAATCTTGCAGTCATGAAAGGCCTTTGTCTCTGAGATAAAGGGCTGCATGAACTTTAATGCTAGCCTGAATATTTAGGGTAAACATTTTCTTTGAAAGACAGAAAGGAAGTGCAGAAAGAAATTTTTATATTTGGTTTCTTTTAATGTGTAAAATTAGCTTTTGTCTTACTTATTTTGAATGTTACAAAGCTCAAAGGCTTCCAAAAAAAAAGCAAGAAAAACATTAGTTTTCAAAAGAAGAAAATGTCTATCAGCCTCTCATTTGAGGAAAATTCACTCCTGAGGAGGAAGAAAAATATGATTAAACGTATTATTCCAATATTGCCTACAGACTTTTATCATATACAAGATAACAAATGGGTTCCTCACTACAAATATCACAAAGTATGTCATTCAGTAAATCTCAGGAAGTTTCTTTGCCCTTCCAACTCTAAGACAAAATATATATTTTCTTGCTTCTTGGACTTTATTCACTTACATAGTGTTGTCCCTGTACGAGACATTCCCAAGAGTCACACCATGTGCCTGACAGCATTGTCCAAACACTTCTTGAACTCTGTCAGGCTGGGGCTGTGACCACTGCCCTGGGGAGTTGTTCCAGTGCCCAGCCACCCTCTGGGTGAAGAACCTTTTCTGAATACCCAACCTAAACCTCCCCTTGCACAGCTTCAGGCCATTCCCTCAGATCCTGTCACTGGTCACTGCAGAGAAAAGATCAGTGCCTGCCCCTCCTTCCCCACTCACAAGGCAACTGTAGACTGCAGTGAGGGCTCCCCTCAGTGTCTTCCAGGCTGAACAGACCAGGTGACCTCAGCCACTGCTCACACAACTTCCCCTCAAGGCCCTTCACCCACACCAGCCCCCAGCACTCGGGGTGAGGCTGCCCCAGCTCAGAGCAGAGCAGGACAATCCCCTCCCTTGCCTGGCTGGCAATGCTGGGCCTGGTGCCACCCAGGACAGGGCTGGCCCTCCTGGCTGCCAGGGCACTGCTGACCCATGTTCAACTTGCCATCAACCACGACTCCCAGGTCCCTTTCCATGGTCTCCCACGTGGTTTAATTTTGCACTGCTCTCTGTTCAAGAGAACACAATACAATCCTGTACCACAATACAGGATTTTCCTTACTGTAAAAAATTAATTCTCTGCTAAGATTCCACAGTAGGATAAAGCACCTGCAAAAGTAGTAATTTTTTTTTCTCATAAGGTCTCTCAGTTTCTTTTAAGGCCTGACACTTGGAGATTTAGAAGAGATATTTTATGGTATGGATTGGAAATAGAAAGGAAAATATAAGAAAATACTACCAATTTTCCCATGCTGACTTTGTTTTAAAGTCATTGTTCTAATTCACATTGAAGCAAAGACAGCACCCAAGACCACATAAAGAATGTTGGGACTGAAACTATAGCACTTATTCAGTAATAAAACAAAGGTGGATGAAGATTTACTAATGGATGTCTTCCATTTCAGGTATGCAGAAAAAATATTTATAGGACCTTGTAAAATGAAAACTTAAACTCTGCTCAAGAAGTGCTCCACTGAAAATTATAAAGATTCTAATGCATTTAATTAAGACACAGAAATATTTAAAAATAAATAGTCTGTAATATGTAAAGAGATGTTTTAAAAATTGTTTTTAATGTTACAACACTAATAATTATTGTGTGTTAATCTACAGACAATCTTTCCTTACAAACAGACAAGGCTTAGAAAAGAAATCACTGGTAATTGTGTTTGAGGTCTTTTTTTTTGTTTGTTTGGGGTGGGGTTTTTTTTTTTTTTTTGGTGGGGTTTTTTTGTGTGGGTATTTTTTTTTTTTTGTATGTTTGCATTAAACCAGTGTGAGTGAGTGTTCTGAAAAGCACCACAAAATCCGCTGATGAGGCCGAAGAAATGTATTGAAATCAGGCTGTGTAGAGAACAGATTTTACACTTTCATGCTGGTGAAGCTTTAAGGTACCTTCCCTAGGGTGAGGAAGGCACCTTCCTGAAGGGCCCTTCATCTCCCTGTGTGTGGGGAATTCTCTGAGGAGGCTGGGGAGATGGGAGGTGTTATGGGTCCCTTAAAGCAAGGAAAGAAATCCTTCTTCAGGTTTTCTTCTGCTGGAGCAATGTACAGCAGTTTTGCTTTCATGACTGGCGGTCACCTCCAGAAGTTGTCTCAGCCACTCCAATTGTTTTCTTTCCACATCTCAGAAGCTAACAGCTATAGTAATCCCTAAGTGTAATACACAAGCCTTATGGTGCAGGTTTTTCAGATGGGAAACCTGTGTGAGACTGAGCTTGCAAGGTCTGGCTTTCCTGCAGGGTGGAAATATCTGTAAAGATGATGGTGTTGCAAAGAAGGAACAGAGACACCCTTTAAGAAATGAGAGAATGAAAATTGATTTTGATGGATTAGAGTTTTTTTTTTCTGGCACAGTACTCATCTGAACAAAAGCAGAAGACAGCAGGTAGAGAAGCACAATTTTTGTGCTGTTTTCCTCCAGGGAAAGGTAAGCACAGTAAATATTCAGTGCCCAGTCTCAAAAGTCTATGGAAGTAAGGCAGAAGAGCTACCACATGACCTTTGTTGAACTGAAGCAATGAATCACAGCACAGGTTCTCTCTTGGCCCAGAGAAGATACCAGCTACCACAAGTGTGAACCTGTGAACAATTTGTTTTAATTTCTTATTAACGTAGTTGTTAAAGCTTTTATACTTAATCAAGCTTCCTCCTCACTAAGATCTGCTAAACCTTTCAAAGAGACAGCACTTGACAGCCCTTGAACAGCTGGAAAAATTACTTTAGACAGGTGACAGTATGCATGTTTAAACTGTTGAGGAAGATATTACAATCTTGAAAAATTTTGTTTGGACATAGCTCTAGCAGAAACAATTTGGTATCTTTCTAGTGTGGCCTATAGCTAATTGTCACTGTTAGCAGAAAATATTTTTTTTCACATACTGTAACATCTATCTCTTCTGATTGTTCACATATACTTATGGAAAATTGCTTTCTGTAAGGACTGTGGCCAATTGTGGGACTTTGACAAGCATAGGTGCTCCTTCTAGCATATCCTAATTTTAAAATGCTTGACTTCTGTTATGAACTAGTAGAATACTATTTGCTATTTGTAAATATAGCATCTATTACACCTATAGTTCAGAAATTTTTGAAAGTACAGCTAAGTATATACATGTGTGTGAGTATCAGCAGAGATTAAAGCATGAAATATCCCTGAATTGTTTTAAACAGAGGACTAAAGCCATAGGCTCATTACCTAGCTTTGACAGACTACCAGACTGGAATAGATATTTTTTACTGGATTGGTTGCCCAAACCCAAAGCTCTCCCAGCTTCATGGACTAAACAGTTCATCAGGTGAGTACATTAATATCTCCCTGGCTATTAAGTGAAGACCAGATTTTATATACAGACACTGAATGCATATATAAAATGCTAATAGTTTTCACATGGGATAGAATTAAAACTTGCACAAACCAAAAATGAAGATTTAACTAGGTGTTTTGCTTACACCTACACCACTCAGCAAATTTTTTCTTTAGTCTTGACAACAGTGCATGATCCTTTCTTCCTGCAATGGTATTACTAAAACTGTAATATTACAACCATTTAAAGAAACATCTTTAAGTCTTTTGAATTAAAGAATTATTTTAATTTGTAACCAGACTTCAGCAAATTAAATCATTTCAGGGTGATTTCTAAAGATGGAAAGCCTTGTACAGACCCATTGTGTAGACAGGAATTTTTATAATTAGTGTAATAAAACATCCATCTCCCAAAGGGAAATGTTTAACGCACATTTCTTAACCTGAAGCATGAGGAATGTATCTTGTGCTAAACAAAATTATTATTTGAGAATATATTAAATACTCAAAATGCTTTAAATACTCTTTTATCCTTAATCCTTCTAGTTTAGTATTCCTAGAAACCTAGACATAACTTACCCAAGTCCAGTCACTGCAGCTGACCAATATATTCCAGATATTTTTGTTTGAAATCTATAGCCAGCTGTTCAGATTTTCCAATAACTTTGCATTAGAAATAGCTACAGTCATTATTTACTTCTGGAAACATTGATGTGTTTTTTAAGAGCAAAAAATGCACACTTTGCAGTTTTTTAATGGCATGTCAGAGTGATTAATGATTCCTGTTGATGGGCTAAAGCAAAACCATAGAATCATAGCAAGGTTTGTGTTGGAAAGAACCTAAAAGTTCTTCTAGTTCCACCCCACCCCATCCCCCCTCTGTCCCCCACTAGGCAGGGACAGCTTCCATTAGACCAGGCTGCTCAAAGCTACATCCAGCCTGGCCTCAAACACTTTCAGGAATGGGGCATCCACCATCTCCTCCGAGAAACCTGCTTCAGTCCCTCACTACCCTCACACCAAACCATTTTTTCCTAATATCTGAACAAAAGCTACCCTCTTTCAGTTAAAATCCATTACTCTTTGCCGCATCGCTAGATGTTCTTGTCAGAAGTCCCTCTTCAGCTTTCTTGTGGGCACACTTGGTAAACTGCAAGGCTGCTCTATGCTCTCCCTGGAGCCCTCTCTACTGCAGCTGACCAGCCTGTCTTCACAGGAGAGGTGCTTCAGCCCTCTGACCACTGAAATGTGTGCAATGAGGACTTTAAGCAGACATAAAATGAGGTCACACATAAATTCTTACCTCTTGCCATTCTGTAGGGTACCAGGAGGGTGGGCAGTCAAAGCGATTACAGGCTTGCACGAGGGATGGCTTGGGTTTGGAGCACAATTCATCTGCCAAAATCACAGTCTCATTGGTCTCTCTTGATAGTAGATGGGAACAGAAGACATCTCGTGTCTGCAAACCAACCCCACAGGTAAGACTGCAAGTGCTCCAATTCCCAATCTCCCATCTGTGAAGGGGTCAGCAGAGAAAATCTTAAGCACAGAAAAAATTGACCTTAATTTTTCTCTTATTATAATGACAGACGAAGATACAGTAAATGAAAGGGAGTTTTCCTTCTCTGATCAATGTCACTCTGGTAGCTGGAGAATGCGGCTAAGATGAATGTTTGCAGTTCTGCATTTTCATCTCTTTGTCAGAAGTTCTTGGACTACAAGTCTCTGGGATTCCTGCAATACCACAGGAAATGTTTTGTGGCCGACAGTAGGATTTTTTTTGTCTATAGGAGCATGGAGCATGGACAATGTATTTCAAAATAGAGTAGATTTAATTAACTGGTTTTCTCCCCCTATCTTAAACAAGAAAAAACTGTCTATAGGAGCATGGACAATGTATTTCAAAATAGAGTAGATTTAATTAACTGGTTTTCTCCCCCTATCTTAAACAAGAAAAAAAAAACAAAGGAAGATATTAACAGAAGTTTAATAGAAAGAATGTAAACTGAAATTTCTATGGTATTCCTGACTGACTTTTCTAGGCTATTGAGATAAGAGGTACTAAAGCTTTGAGAGATGCAGTGGGAAAGCAGGGGATCATCTTTAACCCCTGGATGAACACCTGCCACTGAAGTAAGTCTTTGAACTAGCTATGTAAATCCTGCATCAACAGGATTGTTGATAACTGTATTTAGCATTCATCACCTTAAAACAAGGTTTCTCCTATTTGAACTGTATGACCCCCTAATTCTGTCTGCTAAACACAGAAAATTCCTTAAAATAGTAGGCCTTTCACTCATGTCTTAGCTCGAAAGCACTTCAGAGATATGTAGAAATGTATACACAAAAAAAATCAGTCCTATATTCAGAAGGAAAATACAAGAAAATAGCCTCCCCAGCAAATTCACGCAAAACTCAGTGCTGACCTGGATATACTACCATATCAAAAATGAAATCATGAAAGCCAGATAGTGCCATGTTTTCTAAATCTGAAGAGTAACTTAATTTCCAGCATGACATTATTGAAACTGATTGCTGAGAGAATAAATTAAAAATTCAGGAAAAGGAATGCTCAGAAAGCCCATCTTTGAAGAAAGCAAATCCAGGCAGAAGTTTAAAGAGCGTGATTATGAAGGAAGATACCCTCAGGCTCCAAACAGGATGGAGGCATATAATGAAGAAAAGTTATGAAGCACGACAGCAGAATGAAGCAGATTTTGTGGAAGAAGCAGAAAAAACCCCACTCTGATTTTCTGAGATCTGCAGCCAATGGCAATAGCTCGGTGCATATAAAACATACTATGTTAGCAAACACCGTACTCAAATAACCATTTAAGATTGTGCTACCCTACAATCACTGAACAATTCTAACCTAATTTTATTTTATAATTTTATTTTTGAGCATGTTTCCTCCCTTTCAAGTAACACCCTTAACATATTTAAGCAGCTAGCAGGTAAGAAATTTTTTTCCTCCCTAGATGATATCCTGATGGACCAAAGGCACATTGCTCCCCTACTGTGCTCCATCTGCTGGTGACATTCTCTGATTTTATAAAAGTAGGCATCCTGGGCCTGACTGTAAGCACTAATCATGCTCTAGTTTGCTTTTAGACAATATTCTTGCTGTTAGTAGATTTTAGTAGCAATGACAACAATCTGTTTAACCCTTTCTAATAATAAATGCATTTTGCATACTGAGTTAGAAGTTCCTGTGGTCACTTTCCGGGCCATAATACACTGAAGGACACTAATCTGTACATATGTACTGGAGCTGTTTATAAGTGGAAAAGGAGTGACATATGGCAGCCAGTTAAGCTAAGCTGGAATATGTTCTCCATATGAATGATCTGGGGGAAGAGGTCTTCCCAGATTTTCCCATGAAATTGTCAGAATTAATGGAAATATCATCTACCCTTCAGTTTTGGCACAATCTAAAATAAGACATTTGAGTAGGTGGTGAAAAGAAGGCATTTTCTTTCTTTAGAATCTATTTTGATACATGGTTAGTTGCCAGAATTTATTTTTTTTTTCAAGTGCTGGCAGTAGCTGTTGCCTCCAGCAATATTTTGTTTGTTATTGGTGTAAGTGCAAAATGTTTCTGTTGGCAATTCCCATCTCAGTGGCTAAGAAGCCACATAAACCTTTTGGACATCTTGGCTTGTTCAAAAGAGGGTGTCTGTTTCTTCTTCCAGAAAGAAATGCTGTGTTTCCATAAAGAGAAAGGATTTGTTTTTCCAGCGTTTGAAATTTCTGAATATTGCAGGTTGCATCTGTTACCCTTCCCACAACTAACATTGTTTTTTTCACAATTCTTTCCAGCTGCATTAAAGAGGAGTTTCTTTTGAGGAGCTCACGAACTGTGAGGTCAGATACTTCTTACTCTTGTACTTTCATGGTCCCAAGTGATTTTTATAGGCTTTACAGATGGCAAGTAAATAATGTAGAGTAAAGCAGACATGTAAAGTGGAGTACGGATGTGCAAATAACTGAACTCATAGATGACATACATGAATTACTTACTCACAGCTCCCCTGAATAAAAGAAAGGGAAAAACTTTGAAGCTCCATGGCTAAAAAAGGCTCAATACTTTGTAGTTACTACCACAGGATGATTATTCCGTACTATTAGTGTAAATCTAAAAGTGCTAGAGATTCCCTCACAAAGCAGTTTAACTATGCCATTTTTAATAGGGAAATGATCTTGACATAGTTAACAAAAATCTTTCCTGTGGTCTTTGAATTAAACTTGGGCATTTGTTATCAGCTTAATGCTTTTTGAAAAATTCCAACACATGACATGAACATGTAAACCTGTAAAGGTCTAAACATCTAATTTTTAATTAGAAAGGAACTTTCCTTCTTTTTTTCAATAGGAATAAAAGCTATCAATATCATATTATACCCCAGCAGTTCAGGTGAAGAACTGGAGGATCAAGAGAGCAGGAACTTGTTCCTGGCTCTTTGCTGAGTGACACCAGAACTGCTGAAACATGGGTTACCCTGTGAGTATGGGTATATTCCCTCTAAGTCCAAAGGGAATTGTAAAGTGCTGGGCTGGATCATACCATTCTCCCACCTGTGTCTCAACTTCAAAATTCACAAAATACTTTTGTGTGGTATTTTTCCCTACCTGTGCTTTGTCCATGCTTCCTGCTTAGGTAGTAACCTTACAGCAGAGATGTTATCGTATTCTGTTTTTCTCTACTAGCTGGCACATTGGGAGTCTCAGCTTGACAGGAGCCTCAAGGCATTATTGCCTCATGAGCAACAACAGGGACAATAGTGCACTATTACCTCAGTTTTGAAATGTCCCTCTCACTGACACAAGAACTGGAGATCACACAATACTTCTGCTAGCTAGAGAGATCATAAAGTGGCACTGGATAGCAAGCAGCTACTCACGGCAAGACAAGATGCTAGAATTAGTTTTTGCCCCAGTAGGGCTGCAAGCCTTCGGAACAAAACACTCTCTCAACCCCCATAATCAGTCTGGAAAAAATAAACGATGTAGGTAGAACTTGTAGTCTTGAGCCAAAGCTCTATGTAGGTGACAACTTTGGATTAGTTCCCATATGCACGACATATATGGTAAACCCCAAATCATTCTAAGGTGTTAGGTGTTATAAGAAAATTATCTAGGGATGTGTTTTAATGCTGACATGCTGGTAGCTGGTGCTGACGTGCTAATGCTGGTAGAGTCTCTTCTACCAGTGCCAAGACAATTGAACATTGCACAGGAAAAGTAAAGACTTTTCTAGACAAAGACCTCCCAAAGTAGTTAAAAAAAATGAAATTATTGCCATTTTTATGTGGTTAAACCATATGAAAATTATACAAAAGAGCTCTTCTTATTTCTAAAATAAACATTCATCAGTGTGGAGAAAGGAAGCATCTGACTTATCATCTGACACCTGCCTGCATAAAGACATTCCTCAGTGCACAAGGGCTGTGAGGCAGCTGTGTATATGTGCATACAACAGGCTAAGTAAATCACATATTATATCAATACTGGCTTTCTCCTGTCCTCTGACAACCTGTGCCTTCTCCATTTGGCCATGGAGACAGAGAAGTCTGCTCATAGCCCAAATACCTCCTCCCTTCCTTTCCCCCTAATGAACCTGGAACAGTGTTTGTGGTGAAGATTCCTGCTTCAGGTGTGAAAGACTTTCTTGAGGCTCATTTAAGAGATATATCTTTGATTGAGTAAATATGCTCAGTATCACATCTTAAATACCGTGTCAGAATGTGATCTTAGTCTCTGCACAGCAGGAAAATATACCATCCATTCCATTTGGGTGGCATAGTTTCTTGCAGCAAAGCTACAGGTCTGAGATGAGAACTCCCAATTTATAATCAAAGAAGTCTCAAAGAAGGTGGCACAAAACCAAGACTTTAACTACAAGTTATCTTTCATCCAGATGTTAAATCACTCACAGTAAAATCCAAATGCTCATTTGAAATGAAGTATAAGAGCAAAGATCTCAACCCTAGTGTTCAAACACAGAACTGATTTCTCTAGGACGGGATTTCCCTACTGCTGTGTTTCAATTTGTAGTAGACCAAGCATTACAAATACACATACAATATACACATACTTCAGAAGAAAAGTGAGATTTAACTAAGCTCTGAAAAAAATCAGTTGTCATTAAAATATAAAAAAATGAAAATACAATGAAAGTACTTTTAAATCATCACCAGCAAAACAAGATAAAACAATTCATACTTAGAGTTGCTCAGTCCCAGGCTCACAAAATCCATTGTACAATATCCATTGCACAGTGTCTCCACTGTGAAAAGGAAACTGAACAGGCAGGAAAGGTTTCAGGGTAAGGTTGTGCTCAAGGGAGAATGAGGTGTTTCTTCAAAAAGTGTCTTCCTTGAAGTGAAGGAAGTCCATTAAAGATATGCAGACAACACACATAAGCAGATCAAAGGCTCAGTGAAAGTGCTCTGACAAAAGTGGCCTGCACTCTGTAAACTTACTGATATCAATTAGCATTGCAGCTCATTACAGC